TCTGAAATTTAATGAAGGGATGGCTTTTAATTGGATTAATGAGAACAAAAATTATCTGAGTTGGGTTGATGTTTACAAGCTGCTTCCAGCCATAGTTCCCTGATTGGGTTAATGGTCTAATGCTTTTTGCAATTTCTGCCAAGTTACAAGTCTTTAAAATTTTGCCACATGGGATTTTCCGGACCTCAAAGGGACAGTGACCCTTGGGGCAGATGCAGTGCAATAGCTTACAATTACTGTCCAGATTCTGATGGGTGGCCTGCATGAAATGCGGCGTCTCTGCAGCTCCCAGCGGATGAGTATTTATGTAATAAAAAACCCCACCCCAACCACAACTGACCCCTTCATTGGACTTCTTGGAGGAGAGATCAAATGAAAACCACCAAACCACCCACTTCTGAGATTTGGTCTCACCACATCAAAGAACATTGTTGGGCACCCTCCACCCCCTCCTTGATCTGCTCTGCAGACAAAACACAAAACTCAGCTGGAAGACTCCAAAGTACCTAGTGATTTAGGAGTTCAGGGCTCAACCAGAGGCATCTAAAACCAGTTCAGATTTCAGGGGAGGCTGCAAAACAGTTCTAAAAAAACCCCAAACAGCAGGTCATTTGGAAGTGTTTCAATTTGTTAGGACAGACAGAGAGCCAACTCTGTCCCTAGGAATGGCTAGTTCAGGCCTTCTCCAAACTCCATTTGATTTGAACACTGAAAACATGCTCCAATGAGTTGCAGAGGCCCTAAAAATGTGATGAATCTCTGTCACTCGGTTTTCCAGCTCCGTGGAGAACCAGCCTACCGCCGCTTGTACAAAAGGTCATGCTGGAAGTCAACCCTGAACTTTAGCCTGACAACCTGATGTTGCAAGCTGTGTTTGCCTTCTGGCATCTCCTCCAGCACTGGCAGGCAGCCTGAAGTGCTGCCTTGATTTGATGCTTTGCCATTTCCATGGCTTTCTAATTTTGCAGAACTGTCCCAGCTTTCCATGAGAGAGGAGCACAATTCTGCAGAAAGCCTCTTTTCATGCAGGCCATGGAGCCAACTGGGATAGCAGGTTTCCTGTTCGGTCACTGGTCTTTTTTGCTGCGGGAAAGGGAAGCTGAAGTTGTGTAGACCGGTTCCTCTCCATCACTACCTGTTGTTTGCTCAGGGAAGGAGGTTGTAACAACAACCTGCTGTAACTTGTGTGTGGGGTGAGCAAATGTTCCCAGGAGCTTAGCTCTGCTTTTTTCAAGCTGGAAACAGCATATGCTTGAGTATTTCAAAACCAAACCAAGCCCAACAGCCCATATTTCATTTGTGCACTGAAAATGTGCCAAAGGCTACAGCAACTACAGGGCAACTTCTTCACAGCCACCAACAGGACGAGTATTTTTCAGGCTGTTCTGCAGTACGATTAATTGGCTGGTGCTCCTCTAAGCACTGAGATCTCATTAGCTCTCAGGATAGGTGGCTTGTCAGCATTTTCTGAATATTACCCAAGTTTTCCTTGCTGTCAAATGCCAAAGGAAGCCACATTTAATGTAAAAAAACATGATGAGTCCAAGGTTTGTCTGTGTGATATGCAGGGATCCTGTTTTTTTCTGTTCAAAAACTGCACATTCTCTGGTAAAAAATAATGAATTTTTGGATTTAAAACCCCCAAATCCACATTTTCCCATGATTAAAATGAAACACCACAATATATAGATATCCGTTGAACACAATGTTCTATTGATATTTACAATTTTAAAGCAATTTGGAAGCTGACCAGCGCCTCAATCATTATAATAAAATGAATTCTAAATTCCTACAAATTTGTGTGTTTGATTTTGTTGTATCATGGAAAATAAGAGCTCCATCTACCCACTTTGTTCACCAGGACATGGGTCCAGCTGTGGCTGATTCTCTTACTCCTTCCCCCATGCTGCTTTGTGACATTGAGCAGCCCTGATATGCTGGTTCCCTGCCCCTACCCATGCTGTTGCCCCTCACTCCCAACCCACAACCCCGCAACCCCTGCCAGTGCCCCTCACCCTTGACCCCTACCCCCCCAGCCTTACCAGTGCCCCTCACTCCTGACCCACTGCCCCCCTAGCCCTGCCGGTGCCCCTCACTCCTGACCCACTGCTCCTCCACCTACCAGTGCCCCTCACTCTCCACCCACAGCCCTCACAGCCCTGCTGATGACCCTCAAAACAACTCTGGGCAGGAGCTGACTCCGTGGCCCAACCAGTGGGACCTGGAGCAAAAGGGAGCACTGCACCACCATGGCCGCCAAGGTGAGGTGTGGTGGCAACTGGGGCATGGAGTTGTGCCCCAGCTGCTGCCTGGCAGGCAAGGGGTACCTTACCTTGGTGCAGTGCTCCCTCCCCTGCTGGGTCCCATCTGCTGGGCCACAGAGGTGGCTCCTGCCTGGAGCTGGTCTCGCCCCGCTGCAGCCCCATGCCCCCATGTGGGTGCAGAAATCTAGGGGGGACACGTAACTCCCCCACCCCTCCCACACGTCCCCTGTGCTCCCCCCTGCCCCACAATGTGTCATTTGTGTTCCCCCCCACCATGGACTTACCTGGAGGGAGCTGCAGGAGCTGCTCTCTACCATGCTGCCTGCCTGCTATGTGCATGTGTGTGCGTGCACATGCATGACGCCCCCTGTGTCTAGCTCCCCCAGCCCCAAACAGCTCCTTGCAGGCTGAGAATCTGATGGGGAAACCTGTTTCCCATTTTTTTTTCTCCTTTAAAGGGGAAAATCTGTCATTTCCTCCCTTAAATGAGAAAATCTGCATTTTTCCGCAGCAAATGGAAAACCCAGATCTCTGGTGATATGTACTTTTGCTCTGCAACATACTCCTGTAACTTGCTCCCTCTACTGATACCTGTGCTGCAGCATTACAGTGCTTCTTCCTCCCTTATGTGTGTGCACTAGTGTGGATTCTTCTCAACCAAGTAGCTGAGCAACAGCAGCTGTCTGCCTGTGATGGCTGTTTTGAATGACCAACGGGGCTGCTCTGAACTCCATTTGATAAAGAAACCTTATCTCAGGGCTTTTCAGCATAGCTTGTGCCTTGCAAACACTAGTGAATGGAGTGCCGGGCCGTGACTCAGGAGACTAGAAATTTCTCATTCTGCTCCTGGCCTTGTTGGAGGATCTTAGGCAAATAACATTCCCATGGAGCACCTCTGTTTTCCCATTGGTAAAATGGGAACTGACCTCCTTTGTAAGGTGACCATAGATCTCCAGATGGTCCAGAAGTGCTAGGTAAGAGCCAACTGCTATTATATTGCTTTGAAACTGGTATACTTATATTGTTACCACTCTTAATGTCGACACAATTATCTGGGAAGAAACTTTGCTAGCATTAGGGACCTTTATACCAGTATAACTGGATGCAATACACAGGGATGCATCCATGTAACTGCCCACAGCAGAATCCTCATGCCCCTTAACATGTGTTTTTAAATTAGTACAAACACTGGTGCATGTGCATGTAGCCAGGCCTCGGGGTTCAGCTCTTCAAGTAAAGAGGCCCCAGTGTGCTAAATCGGTATGTGGTGGGACGGGTAGGGACCTTGAATATGGCAACTTAGGGTGACCATATGTCTGCCCACCTTGCTCCTGCACAGTGGCAGTGGTGCCTGCCCGCCTGGTGCACCATGCCACTCCACTTCCCCACCGGACTCCAGCCTGGGACTTTTGACCAACTGGCCGGGACTGGTTTATGGAATTAGAGAGTGTCCCGGACAAACCAGGATGTATAGTCACCCTACTTAAAGGGCTTCTTGAGTTTGGGAATCTGTCCAGCAACACCTTTCTCCAATAGCTTATTGGCAGATTCTATGAATTGATTTCAAGGGACCATTAGATGATCTAGTCTGAGAACTTAGCATAATGTAAGCCAGTTACCCCTGTACTGAGCCCAGCGAACTTCTGTTTGACAATTGTTTCTATGGCTTCTTGGCTTGTACAGTGAAGTTTTCATCAGCATCACACTCAGCTCTGCTATGCCCTTTATCAACAGCACAGTGGATATCTAACAGGGGTGAAAAGATAGATCATTCTGAAAATAACAGTTACAGTAGCTAGTAAAATATTTTCCAAACCATCTCACTTGTGAATAGCTAAAAGGGAATTAAAGTTGGGTCATTGGGATCGTCTCTTACTTTAACCTTAGCATCTGGGGAGCTGTATATTGCAATGATCTCACTGTGCCAGCACTCTGAATGTGGAAATTGTGGTCAGGAATTCTGACCATGGAACGACTATAGGCTCAGGCCAAATAACAGCAGTGCTTTGTAGTTAGACCCCAATCCAGGTAAAGATCTACTTAACTTTCACTTCAAGGCATTTGTAAACATTAACACATTTATGAGGAAGCCCACATCTTTGTTTGGTGACTATTACTGCCCTAATATTTAGAAAGGGAACAAACACTGAAAGGCTATGCAGCATGCCAGAATTATAGAGAAAAGTGCTGGTCTGGGAGCCCAGTCCCTAATAGCCCCATCTCTCTCTGAAGCCCGATACATCCCAACACACCAACATCTGATACTTTAGACATTATGGTACCCAAAACCAGTTTGCCAATCCGGCATAAATAAATGACATTTGCATGAGCCTTTTACATTGTAATAGAAAGAGAACCGATTTAAGAGACAATGGCCACGTCTACATGAGACGCTGACTGCACAGTTGTTACTGCACAGTCATTTAGTACTTGTACAAACAAGTACTAAATGACTGTGAAGGAACCAAAATTACTGTGCAGTAGTTTCATCAAATGGCTTTTTCACGATGTTGACTGTGCAGTAGCTTGTTACTATCGTGCAGTATCATTGCGTCACGCTTCCTCTCATGCAATGCTACTGCACAGTAGTAATGAGCTACTGCACAGTCAGCGTAGCCGAGGACTAGAAAAAATACAGAAGGAAAATGTTCCTAGGAGAAACCCAGATCATCAACATCAGTAAAGAGCAAGACTAAATTTTATATTAATTTATTTAAAAAAAAAAAAGGAACAGGGTTTAATGTGCAAATATATACAACAAACATCACAATGAAACAGCAGGAAGAGAGACTCACTCCTCTCTAATTAATGTTATTCCTTCAGAATAGAGATGATTATTTTAATGCTCTCTCTCTCATATTTACAAATACAAAAAAGTGTAATGCTTCATTCTGCACAAGAAACAGGTTTTGTTCCATTAGAACAAAAAATATTCTGGCTTTTAAATTGCAAAAGTCTCTTATTTTGGTGGCTTATTTTTTTATTTTTTTATTTAACAAACCTGAGCAACTCTGCAGAACAAGGGAACAAAGAAAAAAGGCATTGCCCTGTGCTTCATTCTGATCACAGCATCTGATGGTCTTGTAATTACCCAATGAATTATTGAAAAGGAATGCAATTCCAAAATTGACATCTATTAAAGAGTTATCGGCAGAGACGAGGGGCCACAAGACTCTTCTCAGAAGTGAGTTGATTGAAAACATCAGTCTTGAGTTAGATGCATATTGAGATTTCTCAGTTAAAATACTTGTTTCTCTCTTAGGTTTTTAATGCTATTGCTGATGATCACAATGGGTTCAGAAATAAATGAAAAGGATATTCCATCTTGATGAGGTAAAGAGACTTGCTCCCTGCAGCTCTTTGCCCAAATGGGTAATAGCATGAAGACTATGTAGCATAGAGCCAAAAACATCATGTTGGTTTAAGCTCTAATTCACTAAGGGACTTAAGGTTTGCTGAAATGTAAGCCTGTGCTTACATTTTTTCTTGTTCAGTGAAAAAGGTAACTAACTTCAAGCAGATGTTTGAGCCTTTGAAAGAAGAGTCGTCTTGCTTTGTTTGGCTATAGAGATTTAACAAACAATGGTCTAAATCTGCTGTCTTTACGCAGGTTAATGGGAATTTTAATTAAGTAAAAACAGCAGGATTTGGCCCAAATGTTCACATTGAAGAATTAGAAATGTTATGGTCAATCCTGTTTCAATGTTGCTGGTTCTCAAAGGCATATCAATTCATACGAGCAAAGACGTACAAATAGCAGCTTCAGGGCCACACGGGGCGGGCTGGCTGGAACCACAGCACTCAGGCCAAAAGGAAGAAGACACAGGGAAAAACAGCCTTCCTTGTCCCCATGGCTCGGGCTCACTGCAGCCTGCTGTACCTGACAGCTCGGAAAAATCCAATAGATTGACTCAACTTTCCCAACATGTGGACCTCTCTTCTCGGGATAACCACACGGCCTGAAACAACTTCGCTTGTTTACTTTCCACATCATCGTTCTGCCAAACTTCGTCCAAAGGTTTTACCGGGCTACATTTTTAATTAAACAGCAACAATGACAAAAATATTAGGGCTGTCTAGTGCTTCCCTCATCTTTACGTAAGGAAATGAGAGTTGCTGGGTAAGGCACTACAGAAAGTCATGGGCAGGAAACACCTGAAGTAGATTCCCATATTAGAAGACAACAGCTATAAAAGAAACTCCATCCCCACTCAACGCCCACAAGGTTGCTTCATCTGGAGCTGCACCTTGCTCTTTAGCGGCAGTCTTGATCATTTTAAATAAATAAATAAAAATACCTAATGACTAAAGTGGGGCTGTTCAGCTGGGGGCCCCCGGGCCATATGCAGCCTACAAGAGGTCATTGTATGGCTCCTGGGCTCCTACCCTGTCTCCACTGCCCCTATTGCTCCAGCTGTTGCTGCAGCTGGGGTCTCCAGGCTCCCCCTCCCTCCCTTGGCTTTTGATTCCCACTCCTGCCCAGGGGGCAGGACAGTGCAACCCACCATGATGGGGGAGACCGTGGTGCTGTGCACTGATGGAGCGGAGGTGGGGGCAGCTCTGGACTAAAGAATTCACTCTCAGTGAAGACAGCTCCAAGTAGCCTTGGCTGGGCTCTCTCCATAGCCAGCAACTTCTTAGTCTACATACGTTTTCAGAGGGGTCACTGTTGAAAGCTAAATCCATTTCCGGGTGCTTGTCACAGTTTCCCCTTCCTCACTGGCTGAGGAAAATAGTAATAAAATAAAGGCTCCCTTCCTTTCTGTACCATCTTCTTTCTCACTATTGGATCATAACACTTCAGAGCGTTTTTTTGACACTGTAGCACCACATTACAATGCTATAGTCACTGCAACTAATAGAATAGCTGGATTGCCCAGAATAGAAGGGGCAACTGTATTTGGACTGAAATTTTTAACAATAATAGGTTAATACAGAAAGTTACTGTGAAAAAAACAACCCTTTTTGTCACACTGTTGAATTCTCTATTCAAATAAAAAGGAAAAACCCAGTTGCTTACAAAGGCACATGTTTCACTGTGATCTGGGAGTGGTCAGCAGTGCTGTTAACATTCACTGAAAAAAACCTACTTGTATTACATTTAATGCAGTTAATGCTAGTGAGATACTGGATAAATTGAAGAAAAGGTTCCTTACACTTCAGTTTTTGGATAAAAACTGAAGGTTAAAAGCAGCATGGCTGCTGATCGGTGACATGAGGGATGCTAGGATGCCAGTACTACAAGGAGATACAATTAAATTACTGAGACACTCATTTGGGGGCCTCAGATAACTAGATCTAGCATTTCAGGTTCACATCCATTTAAAGAAAATAAAAGCTCTTTAGACACTAAGCTCTTGAACAGTCCTTCAGTGCATCTGTCTGTGTTTAAAGATTTCAAAAAATAAATAATAAAAGCCAGGGCAAGAAAACTGTTCCTTCCTTTTCTTTAAAAAAATTCTCATTTTCTGCACTAGAGGACTTCTCACACCAGAGAACATATTCCAGTACAACACAAAGTGGTTTATATTTAAATTTAACTTTAAAATTAATGAGAAGTTATGCCATCACCAGAGATTTGGGGATGGGAGTAGTGCTGCCTTGTGGGATTGCACTTTCTTTGACTTGCCCTTTCCACTGCTCTTTACCATAATGGTCTTTCAGCACTCACCAGGTCATTCTTGTGCTGGCTACACTCTGTGTGCTGAAGTACACAAAGAGCAAGTCCAGTGACTGATCATTTACACAGGCTGGCAACTTGACCACCTCTTCAAACTGAAGGGAATAATTTGGGGCCCAAAGGCAAAACTCTCAATCCATCCCCGTCCCTGCAGAAATGTGCTCCCTATGAGTGGGTGGCTGCAGACCTGCTATGTGAGCTTCTCCTGCCTCTCATGCAGCAGAACAGTAAGGCAGGTCAAAGATTTCCCATTTTCTAAGCTGTTTTTCAAAGGTAAACAGGGTTTGCAGTGAACTAGAATATTCAGATAAAGTATCTGGCCACAAACTTTCAGTTTTCAAGTTTTTTTTGGCAAAAACCACATTTTCTTCAGCAACCACCCCTTTCCGTGTTGCTAATCAACTCTTACCCAAGCCATTTATGCTAGTAGATTTGAGTGCATGATTTGCCCCAAAGCCAATAAATGCACAGGCAACTCTCTTACAGTCATTCTTGCTGCAGGTCCATTCATCACTCAATCTCAAATGTGTTTTTGCTTTAGAGATGCAGCAAGGGCTGCAAATGCTCCAGCTACCTTGAGGTAGGAGACAAGAGCATTCCTGTTAGCTAAGCTGCTCTCAGAGTGAGGACAAGCAAGCCATAGCTCTATGCTTTTCTGTGGACCCAAATGTTTGGTAATAATGCAAAAATCAGGGTTGTATAAAATATATAAAGAAACCAAAAATAATGTAAGACTAATTTGTCTGAGGCCATTTTCTGTTGCCTCAGTTTAGTAATTCAGCATTTTTGGATGTCAATTTGCAGTACTGTAGCGTGACAGTACCAGGTCTGAGAAGGGACGAAGTGAAACTGGAACCAATCTGAAGAAGATCCTTCAGAAAAATCTGCTTCTGTAGTCCCTGCTTATCCAAGTAGGCCCATTAGAGCAACTGGAATTGTTTGCATAAGGAAATATTGCATGTGGAAAGCCACATCTAGAGCTGGGTGATGAATGGGGACTGTATTTATTGTATCTGAACTGCCTGTGGGCATCTAAAAGTAAGGATTGTAAGCAAACTTATAAAACTGAACACATTATAAATGTACACTGATTTGATCCTGAGATAGTGCCCATTGCAAATGCCAAAGCTGATAAGCTTCCTGAAAACAGGTGTTTCACACTGCGTATGTGTATTAGGTTTCTGTCTTATACAAGCAGAGCTGCAAGCCAAACAATGCACCCTCCCTCATTATTACCTGATAACCTGACTCACATTGCACTTCCTGTCTCATTCAATAGTTATCATTGGCCTGATGGCTGTTACCAGGAATTCCAATTGCATTTCTTCTTTTGCAGTTCAGGCAAAAACATTCTTAGTATTTTGCCAACCCTTCCAAAACTTGTAGAAACAGGCTCACCGCTTCCCTTTTATTTTTTTGGCCAGCCAAGAATAATGTGTCTGCAACTTCCTGCCAGAGGAGCCACTGCACTGTGCTGAAGAAACTCCTTGAACTAGGAAGAAACTGTCACCATTTACTGGATGGGAAGGTGAACCACAACAGACAGAAAAAATCCAACACGATGAACATCAGTCTGGAGTTTCAGAAACCATGCATTCCAGTTCCATTGGTGCAAAGACCTATTTATAGTCACTCGGAGTCAAACATTTTATGCCGGGATGGGCAGGAGAGAAATATGTTCCAAAAATTGCTTAAACATTGCATAAAAAAAGTTCTGCTTTTTATTGTTTCGGTTTTTTAGCCCTTAGTTGAGTAGTCACCAAACCCTGTCAGATGCCAGATGCTATAAGCAGCCTTAGCACCTGCAGTATTTGTAAGGATATCAAAAAATAGCAACAAGGAGTTACACAACACAGGGAGAAGGAGGCGCTAGCTAGATTAATGCAACATGTAGTGGCATTTTTTAACATCAAGAGGGTGTCTTGTCTGAGGGTCATGCCATTAAACTGTACCATGTAATTTACTGGCAAAGGGCAGTGAAAAAAAGTAATGTGGTACTTTAATAATCTCTGAACCACTCAGTCATCATACTACGTCCAGCTAAATTCAAAGCTTTTCCCTTAAAAATGCTGCTCCTGCAAAGATGGCTGAAATCTTGCACTCCATTTGTCTCTGAACGTTGCTGTTGTAGCTCCTTTGTTTGCAACGTGATTCCAATTCAAGTAAAGTGTAAGCCCCAAGCTTCTTTCACACTTTAGATTGCCTCTCGTCTGTCCATTCCTGCTTAGTGTTCTGTAGTGCTTGAGTCTTCTGTTCATCCACTTGGACATAGTCTACTCGCTGCTCCTCAGAGAGAAAAGGTTTCTGTGGGAGAGGAAGAACACAGTTTTATAATGAAGAACTGGCTTTTTTCTGCCCCTCTTTTCCATTCTTCCTTGGTTGCTTCACTTGACATAGATGAGTACAGTGAGATCAGCATTGCTTTACAGCCTGTTTTAGATCGAATTATCCCTCTGCCACCCTGTCATCCAACCCAGCCCAGAGAGAGATGGAAACATGTTCTACCAACTCCACCCAGAGCCAGGCTAATTGTGCTCTTGTTTTTTATAGGATCCTGCTAAGCTGATGACCAGATGAATAAATGTGAACCCTATGAGAGTTTAAGCTGAAAAAGGCTTAGAATCCTGAGATCTATTGTCCCCAAGAAGCATTAACAAGATGGGTGATGGAAATGATATGGAGGAAACAAAATGGGCAAGACAGGCTGTGTACTTCATAGTCAGTTTATCTGTGCTGCATCTCTTTTGCTGTCTTCAGCCTTGCTCTGCAGAGCAGGCATCTTATCTTTAGTGTCTCTGAGGAACATGGCTGGTCCAATTTGAATCATAATAATTTTTTTTTTTTTTGCCGTTTGACAAGATATTGTATAATTTTCTTCTGCGATTCTGCTGTGGGTCAGAGTCACATTGCAGAGTCACTGCAGATGGAATCTGTGAGAAAACTGGCAGAGGCTTTGCGGGGATGGATGTATCAGCTGGGAATGAAAGAAGAGCTCGGAGAGTTCAGACAAGCACTGACAAGCTTACCCACACACTCTTACTACCGTGCTTTCTAGTGGCGGTCATACACCCACTGGTGAACTCATGTTAATGGCATCCCAGGAAATCATGACAATGATACCACTGTCATAATTTCATCTTTGGTTTTACTGTGTTACCAGTATGGTAGTATTGAGACTATAATGAATGCAATCAACTGGAAAAACTTGGCTGATCTCATTGTATGCAGGGTAACCAGAAGTGAGAGCCTGTCTTGCCTTCCCTCCTTAGATCAACAGACCACAATGACATGGGTGCTTCCCAAGATGATTCATACCTTCTGTACAGGGGATGGGGAAGCAGAATTAAAATCCAGTGCTAAATAATCAAGGTTGGACTTCCTTGTCCATGGAAAAGCACCGCTGCATGGAGAGGTTGCCTGTCTGTGCTCCTGCTGTGGAATGAGAGAAACTGTTAATGAGTAACCTAAAAGTCTTCAGACATCACCTTCAAAGGGAAAGGGCTGGACTGTGAAGTAACATTCCTAATCCAGCCATGTGCAAAGCAGGGGGGCCATGGTCCAAAGGTACTCATCAACTAACTGCAGAGTCTAAGCAATGGCTAAATACGTGATTGTAAAAAGAAAGCAGAATTTAAGGAGAAGAGAAAAAATAGAATAAAAAAGACAAGGGGGAGAGAGAAAAATTTAAGTACCCTCATTTTGGACAATTCTGGTAATATAACAAAACCAGGCATGATTTTCATTCCAATTTAGCCATGTTTAAACATTGTGTGTGTGTGTGTGTGTGTGTGTGTGTAAAAAACCAAAGCCAGACCTAAATGCAATTTAGAATTATGGAAAAGTAGGGCTGGAAGGGACCTCAAGAGGTCACCTAGTCCAACTTCTTGCTCAAGGCAGGGTCTTCCCCACCAGATTCATCCCACTCAGCTGTTTAATCTAGTCTAAGCCAACAAACATTTTAGAAGTTTGAGGCAATGACTATGGTGCTGGCTCATGTGTGGCAATTAAATTATTAAAACGAGGGGAGAGTCGCAGATGATCACAAACATGCAGGAGATTTTAGAGTCCTAAAAATGAAAAATGGAGTGTGATTACGAACACAGCTGATATGAACAGCTAAAGTGCAAAGTTGGATCTGGGTGAAGTTTAGGGAGAATGAAGTGCTGAGGAGATTGGGGAGGCCTGAGACCAGGATTTCTGTTTGTCATGGCCAGTTTTTAAAAACTATTTGTGAAGTTATAGACCCCAAAATACACATAGAAAACTGGTCCTTTCAAGCTTTGGGTTTCCAACCAAATCTGGAGGAGCTGACTCAAATCTAGGGATTCTAGACTAACTTCCACCTGGAATTCCTATTCCCACCTGGCCCCATTCAAGAGAGGGCTAAAAATGAATGAATGAAGTAAGTGTGTTCTTGTTTCAGGTCATGAGAAGTAGGGTTAGTGTGAATGGCCAAAGCAGAAGAAATAGGAGGCATTAATGGCAGTTCTGTTTCTATACAACATTTGGTATGGGTCTTTAGGAAGTGCACTAAAGGCTTTCTGTCATTTCCTAGGAGATTCTGCAAAGGATTCTTCTCGAAGGTGAAAAGACTTCATTTTCTTTTGCTTTTCATGAGTTCTCATGTAAATATGCCTGATCTCTGCAATCTCTTGGAACTGCTCTGCCACATTTGTGAGGGAGCAGCTGGATTCTGTGGAGCAGTAAAAGGGCTTCCCTTATCTGCTTGTAAATTGGACCCAGTGTTTTTAGTTCAAAGTCATTTGATATATATTTTTTTGAAACAGGGCAAAGGACAAACTTGCTGAACGTTTTTCTTAGAAAATGAACTTCTGCATTCTCCATCCTTGCAACAAAGCAGAATAGAGCAAAAGATAGCTGTGTGAAAATGAAAATTACCATATGAATGTAACATTCTTCCTCTTCTCCGGAAACTGAATTGGCACATGGTCTAGCTGAATTAATACCGTCTCTTTCTGGAGAGAGAAAGCTCATTCGATTGCTATGAAGAAAAACACAGGAGAGGTTAAGGAAGCATCTTACAGATGCTCTGAAAAGGAGCCAAAGCCTGACATAGTCCATATGGTGAATAAACCAAGTCTAATGCCGCTGCTTTTATAGAGAGGACATCCAAAAACATTATTTAGTTAGAGAGCGAGTCATAGTCGCATTAATATCAGAGTGGATTTTTTATTTCTTGGGTTTATCCTGCTTGTTGTCATGCCATAACTCAGCAGGAGGCACTGCAGCAATTCTTCTGCAAGTAGCACAAATGGAGGCAGACATCATCTGTGTAATATGCGCTGATGGAGCAGTTACTTTGTTGTATGGGTACCAACATTTTTGAGATTGAAATGAATGAATCAGCTACTGTAGCTGCAAGCAGAGCAACTTGGCTGGCTTTGAAGGCAGCATAAACATGTGTTGTTATCTGTGCCTTGGCAATGTCTGCAGCTCAGACATCTTTTAAAAGAAAAGTTTAGCTGCTAATTTAACCTTTTAAAAGAAGAATTTAGCTGCTAATTTAACCATCAAAAGCTGTTTAATGAGTTGCTGCAAACCGTAAATGTTGGTTGCAAGTCCAGTTAGTTGCAATAAATTACATGCAGCAGAACCAAGGTTACCAAAACAGCAACTGCTTTGGTTTTTCACTTCGCCAATTCTGGATGAATCTGAACTCTTTTCGGGTGTCTTGTATATCAAATACTGTGTAAAATGTATTAAACCCTCTATGCTCCTATTCCCTGAAGGTTCCATGCAGCAGCTCAGTGTGTTTGTATGAATTAATCATAGCACTTCAGCAAGGATGCTCATGAGGCAACTACCTGTGACAAGTCATGTCCAACAGCATCAAAGGGGTTAACTGAAATGCTAATTTGGAAGTTTGGAGAAGATTTTGACAGCAAGTACCAGGTCACCTGTTCTCCTTGTGTGGCAGCCTCTGCATCTCTAGGAAGGAAATCTTTTGTTTGAATCCCTGACAAGTGAGCAGCGGGGACACATTTGGGAGCCCACTAGAACAGCACAGTACACGAAAGGTTGCTATTATCTGCACTGGCAGGTGTGGGAATCCTCAGCTCACCTACATATTTTCAAAGGGAGACTGTCAAGTCCCTTCAAGTTCTTCTCATGAGCTTTGGGAATTGATCCTTCCCATTATCCATGCCAGGCTCTGACAACATACAAGTTTTATGTCACTGAATTACTGGCTGCTCCTCTCTTTGGAGCCCACTGATAGCACAACTTAGTGTTGTCTTGGCTGTGAGGCCAAAAGCAATCTCTCTCCTTTTAAAAAAAAAAAATCATTTCAAGGGCCAAATCAGTTTTAATTCTATTGGGCAAAGCCCAATAGTCAAGTTCCAAATTTTGACTGAGCAAAGCTCATTCATTCAAGTCTGTGGCTCTACCACCAGGCAACTATCCTTCCTCCCAGACCCACCAGTCTTGGGCTTTGGATACTCCCCAAATCTATGGCAATCTCCTACATGCAAGGCCCAAGCCCGGAGGCTTTGGGGTTCAGATGCCCCATATTTTGCTTGTTTCTAGCCAAAAAGCCAATCAGTAAGCCAGGGGGAAGCATGAACATAGTCCCCTATTGCCACAAAATTGTGCAGTCAAGTTGCCTGGAATGCAAGGGACAGGCTTCACCTTGGGAAAACAACCTTGGTTTATATATACATATACATATACATATACATATACATATGCACATATTTCATTTCAGGAGGCAAATCAGTTCTGAATTCACTTGGGCAAATCCCAAGTCAAGTTCTGAATTTCAACTGAGCAGAGCTCTGTGTGGCTCTACCACAGAGCAAGCATCCTCCTTCCCAGATCCATGTCTTGGGCTTTGGATACTCCTCAAATCTGTGGCAGGCATCCTATGTGCAAGCCCTGGGCCCAGAGACTCTGAGGCTCAGATACTCCCTAGTCTTGCATGCTCTAAGCCAAAAAGGCCAAGGAGCAATCCAGGGGGAACACAAGAAACCAGTCCCCTACTGCCACAAAATTGTGCAGTCAAGTTTCCTGCATTTGGGAAAGCTTGCAGGGGTCAGCCTACCTGGAGTGCAAGGGACAGGTCTCACCCTGGAAAAACCACCTGGGTGACCATGGGATCTCTCCTGTCAGGTCTACCCTACTTGCATTGATTATAGATCAGAGTCAGAAACTGAGCCTGAGCTTCTGTATGGCTGTGCAGGTCCTCAAGCTAGCCAGCTCCTTACATAATTGAAGTTTTCCTTCTCTTTTCCCTATTCTGTCTCAAGATAGATGACTGTTCCCTTTGGGAAAAAAATAAAGAGCATGAGGGCTTCAAACATCCTGGCAGCCATGCCAGAGTAGAGATTAACCCTAGCCTGCCAATAGTTTACATAAAGGGACTTCAAAAAAGACAATCTCACTTGGAGGATGCCCTAATTTGCAAGAGATCCATACTTCAGGATTCCTCACAGCTGTTGGAAGCACAGCGTGTGCTCGCTCTCTCTCTGTCTTTGAAGGGAACCATTTTTTTGTTACGATGGCAAATGCTTGTGAAATGCTAGATGGACCCTGTGGAATTTGCATGGCATGTTTGTTCACAGGCTTTGCCAACAAACTCTTCCTTGCAGAATGCAATAAGTTATTTATAACTCTGCTTTCCAATGTCAATGCTTATAAAGGTTTTCATGTTGGGTTTCCCATCCACTTACTAAGGCACAGTCCTGGTCATGGGCTGCTCCCGGATTGTGGTAAGGTTCCTCAGGTCCAGTGGTGGGGGTCGGGCTGAAAGTGCATACAAAAGGAGTTAGAATTAAAACCAAAAGAAAAAAGGGGTTGCTAATGCTTCTTATAAATTAAATGCTGGTCACAAAATCCAGCATAGTTAGGGAGCAAGAAATGAGCTGGGAACCTCATGCAACATAAACAATCTCAACCAGATAGGAAGCCCTTCAGATTCTCAGTTTGGTTACACAGAAGAGCATTTGTTCAAAATTATATTCAGAAAATCTTGTGGACCACTTGAATCAACCCTGCATATGTTAAAATGGGCCGCAGGAGAACCGACTTCCCCCACAAAGATTAAAAACATGCCTCAGCTTTGATCAATACACATGGTCTGCAAGGGGAAGCGTCTAGTTACTGCCCTGGGGACCTTACTGGAGACTGCCCACCAGGCTGCCAGTAGTGGTGGTATTTTCTGGGATGTGGACAAACTCCGTGTGGAGAATGGACTGGGAACATCAACTGCTTGCATACTGGTAATATATTCCCATCACTTGCCTGCTGGATTTGAACCAGAATCCAGAGGGTACAAACCACATAACTTGACTATTTCTCTGAGGCAGCCCCTTCCTTTTTACCATGCTACTCTGGATTGAAACATGGAGGGTAACACTTTCTCTACTGCAGGGGTGTAGATTGGCCAGATACAGCCCGTGTTGCCATATGATCTGGTCTGTGGGTCTCTAGACCAATCCCACATACACATGGTGCACGCACCAGCCTTGTCCCTGGCCATGCATGCTTCATGTGGGTTGGATGTGGCGTCCTGTATGCTGCACGCAGCATAGGGGGTCAGTCCAAGGTCTGTGCTACATGTGGTGCCTGTGCAGGACTGGCTCTGCATGCTGGCTCTGGAACTGGTCTGGATCAGGCCGTGTTGGAGCCAGTGCACAGGGCCAGTCTGGCAGGATACTGCAAGCAGGATGTGCCCCATGCTGGCCCCCTGTGCCATATGCTGCACCTGCAGCCGGTGCAGCCTATGTGCCACAAGGAGCACATTTTGGCCCTGGGGCTCACTATGTATGCAGCTGGACCTGGTGCTGCATGCAGCTCAGGGGGTCCAGGGTGAAGACGGCATGCAGAGCCCTGCCAGATTGGCCCTGCATACTTGCTCTGGCATGCACAGGCAGCCCAGGGCCAGATCCAGACTGTTCTCAGAGCCAATGTGCAAGGTCGATCTGGCAGGTCATGGCAGGCAGGCTGCACTCTGGACCCCCTGAGCTGCGTGCAGTGCTGGGTCCATTCCATGCTGCCTGCAGCACATGTGCTAAACCCAGTGCCACACATGCTGCTCATGGCACAGGGGGTTGGTTCCAATGTGGTCTGCATCCAGGTGCAATGGCCCTCATCTGGCCCACAGGGCCTGCTCTGTAATAATGTCAAATATTTGCATTTGAAAGTGTCCTCTCCCTTCTGTGCTTTCAAGGGGAGACAGACTGGATTACATTTGGATTACAAATGTGGAACTCTTATCTGCAAGTATGGTCACTACTTGGGAACAAACGTGACAACCTTTAACCCACTCCAGGGCATGTCCCAAATTGGAGGGTACTCCAAGCCCATGGCATATCAGCCTGCATACACATTAAGTAACTAAGCACTGTAGAGGGGAAACCAGAAACAGCAGCTGTTTTGGATTCCCTTAGCGCAAACTGAGAAAACCTGTGGGAACAAAAAGGATTTCTCATTCGTCTCTTAACTAGGTAATAACCTGAGTAGGATTTGGCCCATTCATAAACGGGCTAGCAACATTACTTGTGGGAATCAGGTAAGCAGAATGGAGGCCAAATGTAAATCTCTTAGCTGATTATATCTGCATATGCCCTCTGGCTCAGGAAGAGAAAGTAGCTTGTGCCTGACAACACAAGCTGAGGCAGTGTAGGAAGGGGAAGTTCTGTTTCCACAACATCACCAGCTCCCCTAGGGTCCTGGAGAAGCCCCCCCGTTTTCCTCCGTTCATGCGGAGAGGCAGACTCCACAGGTCTCAGCCACATTCTCCACCTGACTCGCAGACCATCATGGGAAAGTGCTGCAACTTGCTTTGCTCTCCTATCAGTTGAATTCTGTCTCTACATACTATGGCTCCTCAAAGAGCCCTGCTGGTTGGGGTCCACAGAGAATTAGGCAGTCCCAGTGGCCACAGCCACTGCCACTGTGACTCTTATTTGCGAAGATGTATCTGCCCCGCAGCGGGTCCTTCAACTGTGTGTGTGAATCACAGAGAACAGAGATGCTATGAGGCTTGGGGAAAAAAAACCTCCCCTCAATCAAAACATTGCAAGAATATTCTGAATTAAACTCTACAGAGTTACCACTGCTTGGCATGGGCATGGCCCCACCTGGAAGCGGGGTTCATGGAGTGCTACAGGTAAATAAATATCTGTTTTACAACTACACCAAACACCTAATGTGATATGGAACATCTACCCACGTGAACCCGGACCAAAACTTCTTCCTTAAAATTACTGGCTATTCCCTACCCATGAAATGCTTGGTGAGCCCCTAATGTGCTATGCCATGACCACCCCTCCTTCCCTCAGTGACAGCCATGTTTCTGGGTTTCTACTTGCCAACCATGTTGGGTGTTAGTTTGGTCTTACATTTCCTTCGAGGCTTGAGATCTCGATTCACTGGCGGCGGTTCCAAGTCGGTGGGAAGCTCAGGCAGCGGGCTGGAGAGTTTTTCATTGCTGACTACAGGGAATGTAAACGTAGCTGAGCCTGGACTCATGGGAATGTAGCCATCAGGTGAGCAATCTGACCCCAGAATAGGCGGAGATGCGCTGGGGCGCATGGGTACATAACTATCCTCTGTGCTGTCTGATGCAGAAGGAATCAGTGGGCTGAACCGACATGGCTTCAGAAATGAGAAGGAAAAGAAAGGGGTCCCAGTCAGTTGGACAACTCAATAATCAATGGGGCCTAATCCAGACCCTCAACAACCAGGGGATGGCTCTGAACTGAGCCCGGTGCTTGAATACCCCAATTTGAGCTCCACAGGAGGCATGAGCTGGAATGTTCTTAGCCCAAACCAGAGATTCAAATATCCATGCCAACTTTGGAGGAGTTCAGATATCCCATACTACAAGATACAAAATCACCTGTGTCCTCCACCTTCTACTCTTATGCATATTATAAGAGAGGAGTAACACATCCTCACGACAAAGAATGACTTGCTTGTTCTATTCTGTTCTGAGAGAGTATTTAAATATATGCAAATAGAGCACTTACCAAATTCAAGCTAAGCCTCTTATCCCGGCTTCTTAAGGAATTTCCTTCCGCATCTGCTGCAATAAAAACCCACAGCGATTAATGATTTGACAAACCAAAAGGCAGTGGAACCTGAAGGATATAACTTTAGAGCAGAACATATGGCTCAAAAATAATTACGGCTTTCTAAAGCTCCTGCAGTTCTTTGCTAGTTATTCTGAAATGGGAAAACCTGATGAAATACAGGATCAAGAAAAACCTGGTGACATTTCCTGATTGGGCTAATAATGCTATGTGAATTTTTAGCATGTTGTAAATAAGAAATAGTTCATATCTATGATCCTGTTCTACATGATGGTCATTTATTCACAGCTGGAGAAAATGAAAAGGGGTTAGAGCAAGGGACTAGGAGACAAGATCTGAAATTTATTTCTGCTTTGTTAGCAACTTGGGATCATAGGAAAGCAGGGCTGGAAGGGACCTCACAAGACCATCTAGTCCAGTCCTCTGCTCAAGGAAGGATCATCCCTGGCTAAACCACCCCAGCCAAGTGTCTGTCTAATTTGCTCTTGATAATTTCCAGGGATAGAGATTTCATAATTTCTCTAGGTAGCCAGTTCCAGTGCTTGACCACCCTCATTGTCAGAAGGTTCCTCTTAATCTCTAACCTATATTTCCTCTGTTGCAGCTCGAGACCATTGCTGGTCACCTCTTATGGCCACAGAGAAAAGCCCATCTCTATCCTCTCTAAAATAGCCCCTCCGGTATTTGAAGTCTTATCAAATCTCTGTCCTCCCCCCGCAACCCCACCAGTCTTCTCTTCTCTAGACTAAATAACCCCTCGTTCTTTCAGACTTTCCTCAGAAGTCAAGATTCCTAGGCCCCTACTAATTTTTGTCACTCTCCTCTGGATTTTTTGTAATCTGTCCACATCTTTATTGAACATGGGGCCCAAAACTGGACACAATTTGTTGCATAACCTTTGACTTCTTTGTCTCAGTTTTCCCATCTGCTGAATGGATATAATTATACCATAGCAGGATTCTGGAAACCTTGTAAAGTGATTTGAGACCCTTAGGTCTCAGGTACACAGGAAATGCAAATTACTGCACAGGAGGAAAACAGGATAGCATGCAGTATGAGAGAAGAGACACTTGTGTTTCTTAATGAAGAATGAGCATAACTCACAAGTGGTCTATCTTCCTGAACAAAGGAAAAAGTCATGTCTCAGTGCCTGCTGAAACTTATGTCTCTTGGTTTATTCACTTTTTGATTACTGATGCATTGTCTTTTAAAAACAAGCCAAGGAAGTTAAGAAAGTATGTTCAGTATGTAAATCAAGTTCTGGACAGATTTCCTGCGATCATTTCCATTGCTTAATGGATAGCAGTAGGGCGGTGGGAACTGTTAGCAGATTCTGTTTGTATGGCAAAATTTTACTCTAAATTAGGGTTATTAAAGGTAGCTTTTCAGGGAATTACTTTGTTTACAGTCAGAAAGAATAGCAACAGACCAGAAGGGGAAAAGACTGATTATTTTTCTCCCTAGGCTTAAGCCTATCTTCTTTTGTAGGG